CCTCTGCTATAATCATTGAAATGAACACTGTTTTTGCTTGAAGGGCGAACTAAAACTAATATTCGGCGTCTTTTATAGGCTTTTTCGTATGAACCAGATATATTCATCCATAGTCTGTTCCAGCTGCAGTCCCAGCTTCGTTGCTCTGTTGTTGTTGTCAAGTACGAATTCTGCTCTAATAGGGAATATGTCGTTTCCGTGGACCTCTTTGACATATACAATGTATTTCATCTGCCTATATATGTGCTTGAAAGCAAGCGTGAATGGTGTTGTTCGATCAGTACAGTCAATAAACAATTGATCACCGCTGTTTTCTACCTTGACCCCGCGGTAACCCTGGTTCCAATACTGCCCTGTGTAGGAGTCCAATGGTATTTCCTGGGGCTGAGGCTGTAGCCCGTTCATATCAGGACAAAGCTCTAGTATAAGATCCTCTTCTGTTTGAATATCGTCATCATAAAGGTCATCATGGTCACCAGTGTCAAAGCCTAGACCCCAATCTGACTCAAAGCTGGGCTGGAGGTTGCCATTTATGCAAGCTAAACCTCCTTGTTGCTCGAGTATTGCCTGGTCAAGCAGCCGGTACTTCACCAGGCTGATGACATTGTGAGAGTGGCCCGCGTTACAGAAGATAAACGCTCCAAATTTGAGCCCTGGAACGAAAAAGTTATCGCACAATGATCCGGCCTCTCCACCTTCATGAGACACAATAGTATAGCCAGAATAATCTTGAATTTGCCAGCCAAGTCCATAGAAAGACGGATTCTTTGAACATTGATCTTTTAATGGATCCTCCAACACTCGTTTCTTAGTCAGGAGGCTGTAAATGTCCTCGGTTATTGGCCCTTCTCGATTTATCATAGTTTTGATCCATTTAGCATGGTCGCTGGCGGTTGTGATTAGTTGTCCGGCACCTTGGGATTCTGGGCGGTCCAGGAAGGGAGATGATTTGAACGCTCTCGCATTTTTATCCCATATATATCCAACTGAAATGTTCCGTCCTTTCGTCTTAGCTAGCGCGCGCCACGGCTGGACACTGGTGGACTCCATTTTAAGTGGTAGGAATATTCGCTTCTCCAGGAAGTCTGAAAAGCTATCCCCGGTAACATGTTCCACTAGGTAGGAGGCAACGATATACATCATATTGGAATACACAAATTCACTTCGGTTGGCCGCTATGGTGGGCAAATTTCGCAGATTTCTTGTGATTGAGCGAGGGTCATCCGGCTGCTCTGCGTTGGAACCAAACACAGAGAACTCATGCCTATGAATGGACAATGATTAATTCCCAGAAATTGAAGCGACGATGATTTGAGACTCCTTACGTTGGCATACCAGTCTGGTGGGTCAATATATCCTCCACAGTGACATCCCGGTGGTTTTCACCAGACATAACAAAATCATCAGGTAGAAGGCTCGACATAGGAGTATCATACTGAACCTGAGGATAATTTACATTGTCCTGAACTAGGAGTGTAACTGCAGCAGCGGTGAGAGATTTGGAAATAGAGCCGATGCCAACGAGTGTGTCAGGGGTAAAGTTTGTGGATGGATCTAAACTTGACTTGCCGAATGCTCCAGATGCGATAGTACGATCCTGTACAATGGAGATAGAGATGCCTGGAATATTGTGAGAGCGGAGAACCTTCTTGATGTAATCTGAGAACTGGGATCGCTGGAAGAGATCCATTTCCGTTACTCCGTATTAAGACTCCGGGAGATCATATGCTCTTGTGGATAGGAGTAACAGATTTTTTTTAAGAACTAGCAAAACCCACCATCATCCTATATATAAAGAATGAAAAAGAAAAAGAAAGAGAAATTAAAAGGAGTTATTGCTCGGTGCAGATCACCCCTATCCTTCTTGGCCCGAAAAGAAATATTGCAACGCCACTGGAGGATTTAGCAACGCCCAGATAACTCCGATTGACTCAATGATTACGGAGTATTGGTCGTAGAGAGATGGGGCCAGGAGCATGCAGTCAGAGCGAGGTGAGGGATCTATTTTTAGAGAAATAGAAAAGACCTTACTTAGTAAGGGAGACTGGCGGAGTCCCACGTAGCTAGCCTGCTTTATGAATATGGGTAGCAACGGTACAACGAATCGTTGCAAGGTATGTGACTATAGCTTATGTCCGTGCGGGCTGTGGGCTGAACAAAGGGTATAAGTCGTACAGAGTACTCCGTACAACATCCACAGCCCAGACAGTTATTCTCCATATGTTAGCCTTCAAAAGCCACTTCCTAGAAGCGAATAAGAATTAAACGGACGTAAGTTTCTCATGGGCGAGAAGTGAGAAGAGATATAGCTAACCAGCTTCTTTTCCTAAAGTCTGCTTATAGGTCATTATGGGAGTTGTACGGATGACAGGTATAGAGGTGCCTGGAAGAAAGCACTGGGTTTCGACGCCTGCGTTACATAGTCCGACTAACCCCACTATTGCTGATAACACACTCCCATTTTTATGAATCGATGAGTGTTCTCCCTTGGAGACTCCTCAAGTTAACTCAAGTAAATATAAGGTGCATAAAGCGCCTGTGTCCGTTGCATAGAGTCCTGAATAGGTAAAAAAAAGGAAGGGTGGGGCAATGGCTTATTCGATGTCGGTAAGTGATTCCTATTTATTCGTTAATAAAATGGGGATCAGCGCAATGTGGCAGAACTTACGGTGTACAGTGTACTCCGTACCACTTCTGGTTTCAAATTTTCGCTGCACAATGTTTCGGTGCGCCTTCACGTTACGGAATTTTAGGGCTATAGTGTGATTGATGAAGGAGACGAAGACTTGCAAATAAAACATACCAGCGCTGGTGGCACGAGAAGGACAGCACAAGTGGTAAAAGTCCACTTCCAGGTGGTTCGTCAACTATTTTTCGTAGGAATAGTGAAGCCTGTCGTCGGCTGAGATGGAAATGTTGGGGTCGTGTCGCTTTGCCAAGCCGGAAGTGAAAGAAGAAAAGAAGGTTAGCTGCGTGGCCGTGCCCTTCCTTCAGACGCGCGGCTGAGGAAGGCTACGCTAGGCCCAATGTAGCAATACCCGGCGCCGTTGACGATCCGCAGCCGCCGAAGGAAGCGCCAAGACGCTGTGCTCAACTTCTCCCTGCCGCGCTCCGCCTTCATGATGGTAATTAGTGATTCAGTGCATCGTCATAGCAAGCTGGTCTATGCAACTTCAAACATGAACTCAGCGTTTCTGGCAATATGTACCGCCATATCACTCTCATGCTTACCATCCCCCGTATAATAGCACAGCCTTACGCGGATTACGAGCCGATTAATCCTTTGGTCAGCTACGAAGTACCAGAAGCAGTAGCAGATACCCATCACAGCCTACCTCATTTCATGTCTAGTACTTGGATCGACATGAAGCAGTTTGGCTGTCAAATACGCTTACTGGAGGTTACAACAAGAATGTTTAGCTATTTAATAGGGCTATCTGCCCTTCCAAAATGTGCTCATTTCGTCCTTATTCAAGCACACAAAATTTCCAACTGTTGCCTGTCCCATCTCTACTCCTGCCCACTCAGCGAGCACAATGCGTTTATCACGCACTTTCCTTTCTATTTGCTTCCTCGCCTGTGGCCTCGCCTCGCCTGTGACCACTTCAGGCCGCAATCAATCAGAGGGGAAAATCTCCTGGGGCCCGTGTGATATTAACGCTACTCTGCCTATTCAATGCAGTAGCCTAGGTGTTCCACTCGACTATACCGACTCAAGATCAAATGCAACCCTTAACCTTCAACTGCTGAAGGTCCCTGCAATCAATGGCCCTAGCAAGGGAAGCATTCTATTCAACTTTGGCGGACCGGGCTTTGGGGCCAGGGAGAACCTAGCGGGTTCAGCTAAGATCCTTCAAACGTTAGACTGAATCAAATATGCGTCTTAACTCGAAAGTACTTGCTAATTCTATACCACAGCTTGACGGGCGGGCATCATGACCTTATCGCCCACGACCCACGGTATGTGATCAGCGTTAAGTTAACCTATGTTTACATAGATTTGTGCGGCTAATTTCCGACACAGTGGAACCGAGACTACTCTCACATTTTCTTGTTTTAAAGACAATAATGAGAGATTAGCTGCTTTCTCTAATGCACGATATGAAGAGTTGCTATCACCGAACGAACGTGCTTCTTTGGGGAGGCTCTGGTCAACCGCATCCATCTTCGCTGATATATGCGATCGATATCCTGAGTCTAATCAGCGAGGGAAACTTATAAGTACTGCATTTACTGCCCGAGACCTGATGCAGATTGTTGACGCATTGGAAGAAGATGGCCTACTGCGATACTGGGGTAAGTCAGGTATCTATAGCTCGTAATGGAATTCGAGAATTACTCATGCATGGGGCAATATCAGGATTATCATATGGCACAGTTCTTGGAGCTACAGTGGCGGCCATGTTCCCAGAGAGGATCGATCGAATGATTATCGACGGTGTTGTCAACTTCCACGACTACTATAATGGCTAGTATGTTGGATTTCCTCTAAAGATGATCTAGCTCCCATACAAGTTATCTGACTATTTTTACCGCTAGTGATATCGAAGTATGGGCGGACACGGATAAAGTGTTTTCTGCTTTCCTTCAACAGTGTGTTAAGTCTCCAGGCGAGTGTGCGTTAGCTCGCCCAGGCTTAACAGCCCCGCATCTGGAAGAGTCGATATATAATCTCCTCGATAATATCAAGTACCAACCACTTGTGTTCAACAATACCTTGATTGATCATAGTGTGGCCAAAAACCTGATCAGACCGAACTTGTATGCTCCACCAACATGGCCACTTCTGTCAAGGGCTTTGGAAAACCTACGAACTGGTAACTTGAGTGGTTTTATGGAGAATTCAATATCTCTTTCTCCTCCCTGGAAGATAGGTACTCCGACAGAGTCTCCATTTGGCATCCCATGCTCCGAGAAAGAAACAGGGTTGAACCGCCTAGACCAGATTCAATCCACAATTAAGTCACTCGATAAGAAGAGCAAGCTTTTGGGGCAGGTTGGAATACCTCTTGCGATGACTTGTACTCAATGGAAAACGAAAGCAAAAGAACGCTACTCCGGAGACTTCAAGGTCAAGACAAAATTTCCTATACTTGTGATCGGGAACACTTTTGACCCTGCTACATCCTTTCCGTCTGCACAGAATGCCAGTGCAACATTCGATGGCAGTGTGCTACTAGAGCATGGGGGTTACGGTGTAAGCCTTCTCCAATCTTCAAGATATCACTGATTCTGGCTGACAAATTATAGCACACAACTCTGAACCACGGCTCTGTGTGTACCGGAAAAGCAGTCAAAGGATATTTTATGGAAGGTATCTTACCTAAACCGAATACTGTTTGTGAACCGGCCTACCCACCATTTGCAAAAAAGACTTGGAATGACATATTGGACCAGATATGAACAGTGGATGATTGAAGGAAGTAGATAATTGGTCAGTCAAACACCCGTGTATGAAATTACAGCTAGAGCCTCCTCAATGGCTGCTTCGCTCTGAATTGTCAAGCTTGTCGTTTCCTTAAGATCTCCTTGATATGTTCTTTTTGTTCTTTGCAATTTAGTCAGTCCTTTGGAATATCCCTAATTTAACATTAATCGTACTGTTAAACTACTTTCAGAATTTATAAGAGTTTTTATCACTATTATTATATTATTTTTTTCTTGAATAATGATTGCAAAAAAAGTCATAATATATTGTATTCGAACAAGGTTATGGCTAGATATATCATACGGTCATACATCATATCGTGCTCGTAAGTAAACCTACAAATGCAATGGCTAGGGATAGACTTAGCCTCTCTCTAGCCAAGGGCACAAGGCAGATTTATGGGCCACAAATTTGTGGCATTTAGTCGTGATGCTTAATCCACCGCCCCATCCAGCGGCGATTTAGTTGCTTGGCCTCCTCGGCCATGCCCAATTCCAACAGCAGCTGTATCGAACCTCTGACAGCCGAATGTAGAGCTGAGCTTATCCAAGCGTGCGTTGGCGCTGTATGCTCGCCGATAAAGATGGTATTGTGCTCAGTGCGATGGTATGCTGGGATGTATAGCTTATGCTGCTCTACATCAGGTCGACACCACGATGTCGCGCTGTGTTCATCCTGTAGCCAACATAGTCGCGCAAAGTCGCCTGTGTATAATTCACGTGCCTGTTCTCCATGGAGGCTCACCACAGCATCCAAAACCATCTGTGTGTGCTGCTCATCTGACATACTAACGAAGCGGTCGCTCCAATCACCTCCACGATAATGCGTTATAAGGCCTGGCCGCGATTCGTTCAGACCATAGACAGGGTAGTAGAGAGCACCAACCCCGAGACTCTCGGGCATAGAATATCCTCCGAAAATGGGCCGCTCACCTTTTTCCCAGAAACGCTCCTTGAAAAGCAGTGAGACCTTGCAGGCTGACTTGAAACGCAGCCCAGATTCGCCCATGGCACGGTTTAGTACTGAAGAGAATTTGGGCAACTCCATGAAGCGGGTCATGGTGAATGGTACGGCCATGATGGTGTAGTCATAGTCCTTCGAGTCGGAAGTACGGTTCTTGCCGGTTCCGGAGTACCATGAAAGTCGAGTCCGCGTGCGATTGGTATCATCCTTAACGGGCTCGAGTTTCGTTATCTTTCTGTTCAGCGCTAGTCTGTTAGAGACATGTGGGAGGAATGCATCTGATAGTCGGTTGAAACCACCATTGATGCACTTCCACTCAGTCTCGCCGAATGCATCCTTGCTACCGTCTTGAGCCAAATTCGAATTATGAACCATCTCATCCCAGAAGACATCATAGTCCGTTGAAGTCCAGATTGCATCTGTGACATCTTCGTTCGCGTGGAAGACATGTCGCATCATTGACTGCTGGCTATAATCGTCCAGACCCTGATCCATAGCCCACTTATGTGCTCGCCAGATATCCTTCTGAATGGCTCTGAGAGTCTTTTCATCCTTAAGAATACGGTTCATTTGCTCCTTGGTGTTGTTATATTCTGCAGTGATCAATGGTGGCGGTCTGCCCAAGCTGGGATTTGCAGCAATTTCCCCTCGTGTTGGGACCCTGCCGTCGGGGTGCCTCTTAGTGCCTCGGGCAATAAGTTCGTTTGGATGGTGCTGGATCCAGGGGATGAATTCGATTAACCACTTGCTGTCATAGCCGTTCATCTCGTTAAGCCACTCAGCCAGCTGAAATGTCAACCGATGGTCTGTATACTCATGGGTCGAGTTGTCGCTCTTGTAAGTGATAGTATAAGGTAGCCTCATGGGTCCCATCTCCGCAAACTCTTGAGTACCTCCAACGAAGACGGTGCGGAATCGACCCCCAACACGATCGCTGGCCTCAATGATCTCCCAGTTATGGAAGCCAATACTGTCGAGCATCAGCCCTGTTGCAAGGCCTGAAATTCCACCGCCGACGATGGCAACGGTGACATCTGGCCGGCGAGGAATCGAGGTGCCTTCGAGGGCCGCAATGCCATCGAACCATGCACCAAGAGCATCGAAGTCACTGAGCAGTGGTTTGTCAGGTCTGGGGCCGTTTTTGCCGTTGTTTGGGCAGTGTGCGGGATGAGCCAGCGCAGTTATGCAAAAGCACAGTGTAAGAAACAAAAGCAAAGCCATTCTCAATCACTATGCAATACTGTCGATCCGAAGGTGTGGTTTGCTTGTCTTATCCTTATCATCTTAGCTTCGGAGCCGTGTTATACCTGAGACCATGAAGGGAAATAACTGGGAATTCACATTTTTTGCCGGCATTGCTACTAGGGGACCTTTGAGGGCCGCCGTGGGTATCTAGTACATCTGCTCCCAAGGTGTTGCAGAGCTCATGCTTTTCCTCTTGTTTTTGTCGTTCGTTATCTTTGCCACTTTTCTTTCTCGATCTCTTAAAGATCTTTAGCATCAAGTTCTGCTTTTTGCAGCTGCGGCATACCTCACGGCCGCGTGATGCTCGCCACCAAGGTCTCATTACATAGCTATTTCTAACGGTAGAGCTAGTTGACCATAGGGTCCTCACCCCAAACAAAGTCTTGGTTAGAAAATCGACAAATCATAAAATGAGGAACTGGGGAAACTCTCCACATGTAGTTTCCCACAAGGTTCATGGTGGTATATGGCCATTACCTAGTACGCAGTATGTGAGCCCGTGACAGGACAGATAACTGGCGCCATATAACCCACGTCACTATGTAGAGCCCAGGGCAGGTCATGAAAAAGCTGAGGTCTCGAGAGTTACCGACATGGAGGTAGTCATGTCGGCCAGGATCATTTCACGAGCACTCAAGGTGATATCTTTGCTTTTGTTGCTCCAGGGGGTTGATGCATTCACTTTCTTCTCTGCTGGTACAACCGTGGTACTGGACGATACCCATTATTATGTGCCACCCGATGTTGTTGGAAGAATTCCAGGCAATGCAACAGGCGATTCCGGGCTTCTCCCAATTTCCGTAATCAGCATCAATGCCTCATCTGCCTTTGGCCTTCATGACTTGCAGGCCAGGATAAAAAGACTTTCCCTGGAGGATGATGTGTTCCAGGTTGGATTCGCAGAAGGTAACATTTGTTCTGACCATGCAGTCGAGAAAAGAAAGTTAGGAGGTTGCCTCCACTGACGACCCCGGTAGCACTTCACATACAGATTATTGGCTCAGATTCATCGAGCTTCAACAGTCGTGCCATTGGCAACCACACCGTACTATCGAGCAGCTCCCACCGCAACGAAACGACTGCCCTTCCGGATGGCCCCTATGTTGTCTCTGCGCTAGGTTGCCTCCACCGGGTGTATCGGCTATATGCTGATGTTCAGGGCGCCTTTTGTGAAACGACGACAATCAACGCTGATGGCTCATTTTCGGTGCTCCCAGCAAATGTGCCCGGTCAGTCCCTTGCCGTGGCGGTCCCCTCGCGGCTGTATTATCGCCAGACTGCGCAAAAGCCTCTCGCGGGTGTTCGATTGGGGGTTAAAGACATATTCGACGTCAAAGGCCTGAAGACGTCCAACGGAAATCGAGCGTGGTATCAGCTATACCCTGCCGCAAATCGTACTGCGATTGCTGTGCAAAATTTGGTCGACGCTGGAGCTGTGGTGGTTGGGAAGATGAAAACGAGTCAATTTGCAAACGGAGAGACGGCCACTGCAGACTGGGTGGACTATCATGCGCCATTCAATCCGCGCGGCGATGGATATCAGGATCCAGGGTCGTCATCAGCCGGTTGTGCAGCAGGTGAAGGTACGTACAGGCATATATCTCGAGATTGTAGCGGTGCTGACGTAGAGCTCCGCTCCCAAGCTGCCTATCCCTGGCTCGACATTGCTCTTGGATCCGATACTGGCGGCAGCATCAGAAGCCCAAGCCAGCTCCAGGGCCTGTTTGGGAACAGACCAAGTAAGCCTGGGGAGTCTCCGGATCCAGCTATCCTGCCGTAACCTGTACAGAGTAAATATTAACAGTTTCTTTTGCTAGGCCACGGTCTCGTGTCCCTGGAGGGTGCGATGCCACTTGCTCCCCAGTTCGACACGGCAGGGCTGATCGCCCGCGACCCGAGACTGTGGGCGGCGGCTGCGAAGGCGCTGTACGGCGCAAAGATCAAGATGACCAAGTCATATCCGTCTCGCATCCTCGCCGTGGGGTTTCCAACGAAGCCCAAGTCTGACCTCGACGTCTTGGTGCTCGGGTTTATCGAAAAGGTGGCGCGTTTCCTGTCGGCGCACGTTGAAGTCTTCGACATCGCGGCTACCTGGGCGGCAACTTACCCGCGCGGCTCCCCTCTCGCGGCTGTGGTCAACAACACATACGAGATACTGAGTGCAAAGGAGCAGGCAAGGCTGGTGAGAGATGTGTTCTATGCTGACCACGCTGCCGCGCATGGTGGGAGGTTCCCACACGTCAACCCAGCTCCTCTCAACCGCTGGGCCCTGGGCGACAGTTCCAAGGCGACGATAGCGGAGGCCGAAGCAAACAAGACTCGGTTCATGGACTGGTTCAACCGCTCGATCCTCCCTTCGGGCAACACATCGTGCTCAGAGAAATTGCTCCTATACATGCCGAGGATTCCAGTTCCCAAATATCGCGATACGTACCGGCCCGGCCCAGCGCTGCCGTCTGCCTTCAACACGAGCCGGATCTCGGTGATGAGTGGGACCCCGGACATGGTCATTCCCATCGGCCAGGTCGCATACCGGTCGGCTGTGACAAATCACACCGAGTATCTACCGGTCACCGTGGATATAATGGCGGCCAAGAACTGCGACGGGATGCTTTTCTCTTTGATAGAAGATTTATTTGTACGGGGGATAGTGAATGCAAGCAGTGTGGGAAGCACAATACACGCTGGAATTGTATAGCCATGAAGGACGGCTATAGCCCAAATACAAGTTGGTGAGTGAATCGGGGAAAAAAGGTACAACTAATTATCGACGATACAGGTCGAGGATTAAGGTCGTCAGGGTATACAGTGGTGAGAGTGGTGGGGGTTTTGTACCATAACTAGTTACTAGACGTCATGGTTATTGATCAAACAACATTAAACCCAGCGACTATATACAGAGTAATAACTGGAATAAAGTAAACACAACATATTAGAAATATCTGATTAAGCGTAGTCCTCCACGCAGCGGGCACAGAATAATGATTCACAATTTCAACCCGCGTGCTAACAAACGTTGCCATCGTAACTGCTAGAAAGTCAGGACTGAACCGCCGCCATATCTCGCAGAACAGGATGATGGAAGATATCTCGAACAGTAATATTGAAATTTTTCTGACGCGCCATTCCAACCAGCCGCATGGCCCCTATAGAATCACCGCCGATGCGGAAAAAGCTATCATCAGCACTGATGGTATCTGGGCTTATCTCGAGTATATCCGCCCAGAGAGCCTGAATCAGTCGCTCGGCATCCGTCTGGGGTGGAAACCGCTCGGTCTCAGGCCGACTTATCTGTGCAATGTCCCCTGCTGACAACGCAGCTCCAATCGAGCGGAGCCGTGGCCGATCTATCTTACCAGTAGCCATCCTTGGAACCATCTGCAGCGGGATATAGAGGCTAGGTATCAAGTAAGAAGAAATACTGGCAGCTAAGCGGTCATTCAGTCCATGTACTGCCCTTTTGACTAGAGTATCGTGAGGTTCGCCGGTGCTGCCACCAACAGAAATGAAAGCAGCGAGGATGGGATTTCCTACCCCTATGGGCTGGATTGCTTCCGCAACAACTTCGACGGTAGCAGAGTCGTCCTTAGGCAGCTGAATCATGCTCTCTACCCAATGTTCAACCTCGCCTAGCTCCACGCGCTGACCACGAATTTTAACCTGTGTATCTTTGCGTCCCAGATAGGCGATGGACCCGTCTTCTTGATATTTGACAAGGTCCCCGGTGCGGTAAACTCTGCCATGACGTCCAGGATGCTTGCCAGGGACGCCTTGTACCAACCACGTCGGATCTTCTATGAAGGAGACTGCAGTCCTAATGTGATCGTTCAGGTAGCCCTCACCAACTAAAGGGCCTTCCAACCAGAGTTCACCTGGAGCGTGAAGTGGTGCTAAGGTGTTAGGGTCATCTGGCTCAACCACCCATGTGCAAAGTCCCACTCCCTGGCCAAGTCCACCATGAGGGTTTCTAGTTAGGTTCAATATTGTCGAAGTGGTGGTGCACTCGGCAGGTCCGTAAGCGTTTATAACCGTCGTTCGATCACCAACCAGGGCCGCGTCCGCGTCAGAGGGTAGGACAACCTCTCCTCCCAGCACAAGTGTAGACAATTTTTCAAGCCCAGTTAAGTGTCGTGCGATAGAAGGGGTCAAATCAGCGAGAGTGACTCTGTATTTTTCCAAACAGCCAGAAAGATCATTTTGTCGTTCAGAGGCAGAAGGAATGCATAGACATGCGCCTATATTCATATTAGTACCTATTCAAGATATGAATATGTAGTGATTTGTTTCTGATGTTCGGCTTACCAACTGTGAGTGTATTTAGCAGGTTGGACCAAGCAACGTCAAATGCATATGAGGAGAAGTCAAGAACCCTCAAGCTTTGAGTATAACCCAAGCACGTGCGCTGGTGGGTAATTGCACTGCAAATATTTTGGTGGTTCAGCATCACTCCTTTCGGCGTACCGGTAGTTCCCGATGTGAACATAATATATAATAGATCAGCCGGGTCGACACTTGGAAGCTCAATGTCTTCCGAATTTTGCTTCTCTTCATGATTTAGAAATTGATAATGGTCGGGACCCACAATAAGCACTTGGTCAATACCGAGGCTACGCCCCAATG